CAGTGGTCGTGGTACTGCTAGCGGCAATGGTAGTGGTAGCGGTAGTGGCAGTAGTAATCTTCGTCCAGTGGTCGTGGTACTGCTAGCGGCAATGGTACTGCTAGCAGCAGCATCAGCAGAAGTAGCTGCGGTTGGACAAGCAGTTACAGAAGTGGCAGTTGCAAAAACAGTCATAAAAGCCGTCGTTTTCGTCTTTTTCTTGGGAGGGGTGGCGGTGCGACCCCGACAATCCGAACGTCAATTCGAGTGAACCCTAAACCCTAAACCCCTAAACCCTAAACCCCTGAACCCTAAACCCCTAAACCCTAAACACTTCGAGGCACCACGTGTGTGGGGCAGTTCGGCATCAGCACCGAGAAGGAAGGCTGGGACTGCTCGAAATCGAACTCCGAAAGCATCTGCCCCAAGGAAACGCTCAGGCATTTCACCTGCAATTCACTCTTTAGGGACTTTAGCGCTTTGGGATCCAGGGGCTTAGGGATCTAGGGGTTTTCTCGTTTAGGTGTTTGGGGATTTAGGGGTTCAAGGGTTTAGGGGTTTTCGGGGTTTCGGGGTTTAGGGGTTTAGGGGTTTAGGGTAGGGGTTTAGAGGTTTAGAGGTTTAGGGGTGCAGGGGTTTGGGGGTGTAGGGGTCTAGGGGTTACTGGCGCGGCTTTGGTGGATGTTCTTTGGGTTTGTGGCTTCACTCTAGCACGAGAACTGCCGCCTACAGCAAACCTCGACCCCTGAACCTGCGAACCTTAAGGCCATAACCATACTACATTATACTGCTAGAAACTATATATAATAGACTATATACTATATACTATAGACTATAAACTATAGGCTAAATACTATGTACTATCCATTATATACAAAATACCAGATAATGTAAACTATATAATTATTATCTACTATATACCAGATACTATATACTGCACTTTGTGCTCTACTTTATACTGTACTATACTGTGCTATACTGTGCTGTACTGTGCTGTGCTATACTTTATTTTCCTGCATACTGTTACAACTATGCAACCTCAAAAGCCAGCAGATCCTCTGACATGCTCCCGCTATCACGAAACATCTGGAACACTAAGGACACTCTCGCCACATTAAACGACCAAGAAAAGGCTCTACACTACATGGACTTTGTAGAAGACGTTAACCCTACTACTAGGACTTAGCGCGTCGGACTTCAAACCCATGCCTGCTTTGGGGCGTTGCAGGTTCCCCAACATTCCAGGGGCTCGCTACCTTCATAAACGCTTTAAAAGGCCCCATCAATCTCCGCAACAACCCCTTATAAATTATACAACACTACTATCAAAACACAACCGCACCAAACCCCCATGACACCCTTAAAATCTTGAAAAAACCCTGCTGGAAAAACTCGATGAAACCTTTATAAGCCCCGGGGCTCTGGTGCTTGGGATGTGGGTCTAGAGGCCTTAGGACTCAGGCTTAGGGGTTTGGGGTTTAGGGCTTTAGGGTTTAGGGTTCAGGGTTCAGGGTTCAGTGTTTAGGGTTTAGGGTTTAGGGTTTAGGGTTTAGGGTTTAGGGTTTTGGTTTAGGGCTTTAAGGCTGTAAGAAGCTTTCTTCGGGTTTAATGAGGTGTTGCAATATGAGCTTAGAGGGGCTTAGTAATTGTGTCGGGTGTTAGCTTCAGTGCTGGTGCGTGTAATGCCAGCACTGCTACTAACAGACATGACTGTTCCCTTTCCGGTACCACCAATACCATGAGCTGGTACCCCCCTCTGCAAAAGCTGTACTAAACATAAGCTGCTACTACTACTACTACTACTACTACTACTACGACGACTACTATGACTACTACGACTACTACGACTATTACGACTACTACAACGACGACGACGACTACTACTACTACCGATACGACACCGACTACGACGCCGACTACGACGACGACTGCGACTGCGACTACGACTACGGCGACGAGGCCACCGAGGACGAGGAATCTGAATTAGAGCACAGTGACTGTTACTGGTATGATTGATGACATTCTCCAGTACTCTCAGCCGAAGTAGCTTAGTAGAATGAAGCCTGCACAGGCCCTGCCTTCTCGAAAACCTCCTTGTAAGTTACAGGCCCATCACTTGTAGCGTAGGCGACGTTGCTTCCCTTGGACAGACGGGTTTGCGGCTTGGGTTGAAGGTTTACGGTGCAGTGTAATGTAGAGGCCTTAATCATTAGAATAGGGTTTTGGGGGCTTTTTCTTGTAATTATATTATAATATACCCCCATACCCTATGTTCAATATTCAGGCGGTTGATGTTTAATCGGACTCCACAGCCGCAACACCTCACAATTCAGACTTCGAACCACAGCCACGCAAGCCGAAAGGATTTTCCGGGGGCTCAAGGACTAAGACGGCTCAAGGTTACAGGCTCCTGAGAAGCTGCCCCACGAACATGTTAACAACAACGAACCCTAAACCCTAAACCCTAAACAATATTCACACGACGACGGTCTTACCGTTTCTGATAGCGTCGTGCATGCTCCCATTTTCATGTTCCAGCTCAGAGTCTGTACCGTAAGCTGTCGATTCCTGAACACTACGCCTTCAGCCGCCTTTCCTCGAAGACTCGGAGGACGATCCAACCCATTATCCCGATTTAGAAGTGTCTATGTAGGAATTGCAGGCCGTTGTCGGCAAGTTGTCCAACCCCGAAACCCCCGCCGTCCTTCAGATGATCCCTCCCATTCACTGCACATGTAGCAGTCCACGGGTGCTCAAGATCAGTCTACAAAAGACCGGCTACTGCAAGTCACAAGACTCAATGACGAGCATGCAAATCCCGGAAAGAATGAAAATCCTCAGCCTCATAGCATGAAAGTCATACAACAACGCTAGCAAGTGCCTAGACGCCGAACCCCAATAGTATAGAAGAACTGATAAGTAAAATAGTTATGCTATACTATGATTCTAACAAGGAGCCCCCCAACATAGCGTAGCAAATTCGTAAGGCCCCTATATTACCCGCAAGCCTGGCAACCCCACGAAGCTTAGGGTTAGGGGTCGCTTGGGGTTGAGGGCAGGAGAAACAACACCAAAACCCCGGTTTAGGGTTTAGGGTTTGGGGGTTCCAACCGCCGCCCTCCCTATGCAGGTGGACACTTTGAGGTTTAGGGCTTGGGAAGGTAAGGTTTCTAGAGCCGGACCGGCTTTACAAACCCCAAACCCTTTACCCTACGCCCTAAACCCTATCCCAAACCCCCTTCTTGAGAAAGGTCAGCTAGGCCGAAGTGCTCTGAGTTTGAGGCTGCCGGTAAGAGCATAAGTAATATAGGGGCCTCAATGATTAGAATAGAATAGGGTTTTGGGGTCCTTTATAGTAGATCTATCATAAGGAACCCCCAAAAGAGTATAGGTGATTAGATTCTTTGAAAACAATTTACTGTCATGCTCCTATATTATGCCAATGTGGGTAGTTCTCTAAATTAGGGTCCCGTTCTGAATCCCCAATATAGTACGGCACCCTTATAAAAGGACCCTAAAAGGGACCCTAATTTAGAGAACTACCCATGTAGAAAGCCGAAACAACTAGAGCCCCCCGCAGCACGGGCCGGAGCTGAGGGCTTGAGGGGTTCAGGGTTTTCGGGATTTAGGGTTTAGGGTTTAGGGCTTTAGGGGCTTTAGGGGCTTTAGGGTTTAGGGCTTTAGGGGCTTTAGGGGCTTTAGGGGCTTTAGGGTTTAGGGCTTTAGGGGCTTTGGGTTTAGGGTTTAAGGTTTAGGGCTTTAAGGGCTTAGGGTTTGAGGGTTCAAGGTTTAGGGCTTTAGGGGCTTGGGGCTTGAGGGTTTAAGGTTTAGGGCTTTAGGGGCTTAGGGTTTAGGGTTTAAGGTTTAGGGCTTTAGGGGCTTAGGGTTTAGGGTTTAGGGTTTAAGGCCTTAGGGTTTGGGGCTTATGGGTTCAGGATGTAGGGCAACTGGATTGAGGAACCCCAAACCCTAAACCCAAACCCAGAAGGAATAAATTATCGTGTATGAGTCGGCAACCGAGGGGCAAATTTCGCGCAGCTGTTGCAGATGGTCTCCCACATATCATAAGACCTAAGGTCCGGATTTAGGGTTTCATATCATGAGACCTCAGTTTCTCCGTGAACCTTAACCTTCAGTTTAGGGTTTAGGGCTCACCCTGTGGAACAAAACCCCCAAGCCATAGGCCATAACCTTAGCCTAGAATTCTGTATCCAACCCAACTGAGACCTCCTACTCAACAGCCTGAGCCCCAAGCCCCCAAGCCAAAGCCTTAACCTCGAACCCCCCCCCCCCCCCCC